TGACCCTAGTATTTGTGTATAAATAGACTAGTTGTAGTTGTCATTTATTTCATCATCTTTCTTACAACTTTTGTAGTCGTCACTGCTGAGAAATACATATTCTCTCATTCCTTTTCTTTTCATCAACTTATGCACTAACAATTGTATCTAGAGCTTCGGTTCATATCCACAGGGAAACACGATTGAAACGGTGAGGCGTTGTGAGGTTGATTTCGTTTCTTGAATTCGTGTTAAATCTTGAACGAAATTGTAACAAAATCACATTTTTTGATTCTGTGGGATTGGGAAACACTGTGTTTGGTGAGATCTGAGTGACTTGCACAAGGTCTAAGATGAATGGAAACGGTAGTCTAAGCACCAAGCTTCCTGTGTTCGATGACAAAAAGTGAGATCGTTGGATGATTCAGATGCGTGTGTTGTTTAACACTTAAGATGCTTTTAATCTCGTCAACGATGGTTACGTTTCAGTTGCACTTCCAGAAAATGAAACTGATGCGCAGAGAAATACTCAGCTGATATGAGGAAGAAAGATCAGAAGGCATTATTCTACATCCATCAGTGTGTGGATGTGAACATGTTTGAGAAAATCGTTGATTCGACGACAGCGAAGGCTGCGTGAGACACACTAGTTAGGTGTTACGATGGTGACACATCAGTGAAGAAGGTGAAGCTTCAGTCTCTATAAAAGCAGTATGAGAATCCCAACATGAAGGACAATAAGAAGGTATCTGAGTACATCTCTAGAGTGATTCAGATCACTAATAAGATTAAAGCTTGTAGAGAAACCCTTTCTGAACATGTAATCATTGAGAAGGTATTGAGACCCATTACTCCCTGGTTTGATTACATTATGGTATCAATAGAACATTCAAATGATCTAGACACCATGAGAATCGAAGAGCTGCAAAACAGTCTAGAAGCACAAAAATTGCGTTTGACTGAGAGAACTTCTGAAAGTGAAGTAGAGCAGCAGGATCTAAAAGAAGTTTCTGGTAAGAAGTATCAGAAGCAGTCTTGGTCAGAATCCAAGAGAAGATTTGATGGTGTTCAGAAGTCATAAACCTCAACTTTTGATAGGCAGAAGAATGTTCAGAAGGCAAAAGAGAGGCATGTCAAGAAGAAGATCCAGTGCTACTGTTGTAAGAAGTTTGGCTACTTCGCTGCTGATTGTTGGTCAAATAAGGAAAGGAAGTCAGAAGAAGAAAACGTAGCCAGAAGAGATTCTGATGATGAATCTGCACTACTGATGGCTTATGAATCCAATGATACAAATTTGACAGACCGGTGGTATATGGACACTGGCGGCTCAAATCAACTTACATGAAATAAGAAATGGCTGGTTGACTTTGACTCTAGAAAGATGACAAAGATCAGATGTGCTAATGATAAATACCTCAATGTTGAAGATATGGGAAATGTCAGAGTCATTCTGAACAATGGGAAAACTGCATTGATTTAGAATGTATGGTATGTACCTGGCATGAAAAGAAATATGATGAGTGTACGGAAACTAGTTGAGAAAGGTTTTTCAGTTACCATGAAAGACAATCTTTTGAAGTTGTATGACTGCAATCAGAAGCTGATTATGGAGTCAAAACATGGAAGGAATAGAACATTCAAGGTGAATGTTAGAACTACAGACTCTGAATGCCTTAGTGTAGCAAGTGTGTGAAGGAAAGTAAGTTGTGGCATAAAATATTTGGTCATCTAAATTTCAGAAGCTTAAGACATGTGAATTCAAAGAAGTTGGTACTGGAATTCCTACAATTAAGAAGCCTGAGAAGTCATGCAAAGTGTGCATGGAAGGAAAGCAACCAATATTTCCATTTGCATCAGAAGTAGCTTCAAGAGAAAAACATGCCTTAGGAGTAGTGCATTATGATGTGTGTGGTCCATTTCCAATAGCATCGATTGAAGGGAACAAATACTTCGTGTCATTTGTTGATGAATTCACAAGGATGACATGGGTATCCCTTATAAAGTTCAAACACGAGGTGTTTGTTGAATTCAATAAATTTAGAATGAAGGTTGAGAATTAGAGTAGTCAGACTCTAAAGATTTTCATAACCGATGGTAGGGGTGAGTATAACTCCACTGAGTTTAGAAAGTTTTGTGAGGAGAATGGAATTAAGCATGATGTTACTTCTCATTATACTCCTCAACACAATGGTCTTACTGAGAGAAGAAATTGTACTTTTCATGATATGAAGAGAAGCACGCTGAAGGATAAGAAGCTTCCTCACACCTTATGGGGAGAAGTTGTTGCCACTACAACATATGTGTTTAACAAATGTCCAATGAAGAAGCTGAAGAAAATAGTTCCTATTCATAAGTAGACTGAAGACAAGCAAAGTGTTAGCCATCTGAAGGTGTTTGGTTCTGTATGTTATAAACACGTTCTAGAAGATAGAAGCTGGATAATAGAAGCAAAGTGATGTTACTGGTAGGGTACCACAGTACAGGTGCATACACGCTTTATTGTTTAGAAACTAATAAAGTTGAATTCAGCAAAGACGTCATTGTAAAGGAATCAGAAGCTTGGGATTGGAATAAGTCTCAATCAACTATGGTGTGAGAACTTCTGAAGAAAAGTCAGATTAGAAGTTTTTGAAGATGAGTAAGAAGTTGGAGAAGATCCTGAAGCTAGAGTAGACTCTGAAGGCGAGTCTGACTCTAATGGTGATTTTGACTCTGAAGGAGACTCAGAATGTGAAGATGATTCTGATCTAGATTCTAATGGTGATTCAGATTATGGGAATATTCTTGACTCTAAAGGTGGTCAAGGTTCTGGATGAGGTCAACCTTCTGAAGGAGAAGCTTCTAAAGATAGAACTTATGAGGTTCCAATATTCGAAGGAGATTACGAACGAGGTCAAAGGCCACAAAGAGTAAAAAATATCTCGAGAAGAGTTTCAGAGTATGACATGCTACGAAATACTGAAATAGACTCGGAGGGAGAGATTATTCAGTGTGCCATAGTAGCAGACTCTGAACCAGTAAGTGTAAAAGACGCCCTCAAGAAGAAAGTTTGGCTAAAGGCCTTGAAAGAAGAACTTAAGGCTATTGAAAGAAACAAGACTTGGAAGTTGACTAAGCTTCCAAAGGAAAAGAAAGCCATGAGCGTCAGATGGATTTTCAAGGTGAAGCTAAAGCCATATGGATCAATTGGCAAACACAAAACGAGGTTAGTAGCAAGAGAATTTCTACAGAAACTTGGGCTTGATTATTCTGAAGTGTTTGCAGTTGTAGCGAGACATGAAACAATCAGACTGGTGATTGCAATAGTTGCTAATAGGAATTGGCATCTGATACATTTAGATGTGAAATTGACATTTCTAAATGGCCCATTACAAGAAGAGGTATACGTGTCACAACCTCCTGGATTTGTTAAAAAGAATCAGGAAGAGATGGTGTACAGATTACATAAAACTTTGTATGGATTGAAGCAAGTTTCGAGAGCTTGGAATCTAAAGATTGATTCATTTTTCAAGGAGCAGAGGTTTCAGAAATATGAGATGGAGTTCGGTGTTTATGTTCATCATACCTCTGAAGGCAATATGATTATGGTGTGTCTGTATGTTGATAACATATTGCTTACAGGGAGTTCATAACAAGAGATAAATGAGTTCAAGAAGGTGCTGGTGAATGAGTTTGAAATGACTGACCTCGAGAAAATGATATATTTTATAGGGATGGAGTTTATGCATTCTATGAAGGGTATCATTTTGCATCAACTGAAGTATGAACTTGAGATTCTGAAGAGATTTAAGTTGCAGAATTGTAAGGTTGTTATCGCACCTTCAGAAACCAGTCACAAATTGGATTCTAATTCTGAAGGTGAGGATGTTGATGCTACAACCTTCAAACATTTGGTTGGTTCTCTGAGGTATCTGTGTAATACCATATCTGATATCTGCGATGCAATTGGAATGGTTAGTAGGTTCATGAGTAAACCTAAGTGATCCCATTATCAAGCTGCTGTCAGAATTCTGAGGTATATCAAGGAAACTCTGAAGTATGAAGTGTTATTCCCTTCTGGAAGAAAGATTAATTCAGAGCTGATGATTTACTCAGACTTTGATTGGTGTGGAGATAGAGTTGACAGAAGAAGTACTTCTGGATACTTGTTTAAGTTTCTAGGAGGTCCTATTTCTTGGCGTTCCAAGAGGCAACCTGTTGTTGCACTGTCAACGTGTGAAGCTGAGTACATCGCAGGTGCTGTAACTGCATGTCAAGCTGCATAACTTCTGAATTTGCTTCAGGATCTGAAGATAAAAGTAAACAAGTCTCTGAAGCTGATGATTGATAACAAGTCGGCAATCAATCTTGCAAAGAATTAAGCTCTGCACGGAAGAGACAAGCATATTGAGACAAAGTATCATTTTCTGAGAAGTCAAGTCCAAAATGGAGTGCTAGAAGTTGTGCAATGTAGCACGCAGAAGCAGCTGGCAGATGTTCTGACAAAGGCGATCAAGACGAATCAATTTCTCCACTTAATGGATAGAATTGGCGTTGTTAGTTTTGATTAGAAAATCCTATATTAAGGGATGGTATTGAAGGGTAATTTACTATTTTAGTATGTTGTCTATGTGACCCTAATATTTATGTATAAATAAACTAGTGGTAGATGTCATTTATTTTATCATCTTTCTTACGGCTTTTGTAGCCGTCATTGCAGAGTAATAAATATTCTCTCATTTCATCACCTTGTGCATTAACAGTTGTCGTTGTACTTGTGTATTTTATATTAGAGTATGTGAAACCTATAACTTAAACTTTGTATCATGTGTTCATTAACATATAATATATTATGCTAGAATGAAGTTTATTAATATTAATTTTTTAGCCTTTTTCAAAAATTTTTTTTTTTTCTGGACCATATTTTCCCGGCACTAACCTCTTTAGCAAGTTGTAGAGAGAAAGCGATTAAGACAAATTAGATTCACAATACAATTAATAGAGATAAAACCAATTACAAAGCTGAATAGTTATGTTATAGATTACAATTTCCAATATATTTTTAACTTGTGCAACACGCCAGCTACTACTCCCCAAAATGTGATTTCTGCAAAGATCACATATAAGAGAGTTCCAACTTTCTCTGACTTCCAAACATTTACAAACACATGCTTCTTGATCCAGTGTACCTAATTTACATTTTCACGTGCAAAATAAAAACATATTATGAATTTATATATAATCGAAAATCATGTTAATTAAGACAGCATATGCTAAAAATATAAATGTTGTTTTGTTTCTTACTAGTGACTTGTTTGGATCTTCGTAATACCAGCCATTAACAAATGCTGCAAAAATTCCCTGAGCTGCCATCACGAACACTAACATCGCGTTCATCCCTATCCATTCCAAGAACAAGAATGGAGTACGGATCCCACAAACATCAATCTGTTTGGTTATCACAAAGTGAAAGAAAAAGAAGAAACAATTGTTAATTGAGTAACCAACGATAAGAACTTTTTCTACCTGAATGAAGAGATATAATAAACTTCATTTTTCCTACCAATATGTAGAGGGCAGAGAAGACAATTCCAGCTGCACCGGCCGTGAAACAAACATAGCTCAAACTATAGAGTTGCTTGTTAATTGGAATAGCTGCAGGGTTCCATGAAAATTTTGTTAAGATGTTATCTTGAACTCAAAAATGGTATGTTTTCTAGAATGGATTTTGACGGATTTGAGTTGTCTACAGTCACGGCCTCTTATAGTCATATTAGTGGCCGTTAGAACATGATCAGCGGGTCTAGAAGTCAATCTCCGTATCTTAGATTTAGAAAATAATTAAATTGTATTGAAATATGAATCGTCTGATCTTGATTAAATGACCAATGCGAGTGTGACTGCACATTATGTAAATCCGGTTTTGAAAAGGGTTTGTCATACTAACATACCGTCTGTAAAATGAAGGACAATGGCTATTATGAGTAACACAAACCCCATTGAGAGCCAATGTTTGAGCCTTTCTGAATGACCCTGTCAAGTTAACATTTATTAGGCCTTTCACTAAATTGAATTATAGAATAGACATTGTGTGTATTATTAAGATATGGAAAAGATTTCGTTACCTTGAAATGAATCAAGACATGTCCATAATGGATTCCAATGGTGCCAGAGAGGATTGCTGATACAGAACTAGCAACAAAAAAGATTTCATGACATGTCTCGTTCGTGGCGTTGGTTATTATATTAAAATAGACTAAGATTTAAAGACATATACCTTAGTAAGCCCTCTGGTTCATATGGAGCAAGACACCAACTTGGAGCATCATCGCGAAATTGTCCTTCACCGGAAGAACTGAATGTGCATGACTACAATAAAATCAGACAAAAAATTATTAGTACAATAGCAAGGTAATTCATCATTTTATTATTGTTATACACGGACTTACCTTTAAGCGTCTCCAAACAGGTTGAGAATAAAGATGATTAACCCCCCAGACTCGTCTATCGACGTATCCAACTGCGTTACATGCAGGTCCTAGGTGTCCTCTCATTCCACATAACACCTAATAAACGGAAAGAACAAAAACATAAATAAAAACAAAAGGCGAGTACCCTAGACGTAATAGTGAGAATCTACCGTGTATCTCTTTGGTACGTCGCCATTAACGTGATCTACAAAACTCCAATCAGGAACATACAATGCGAAGGTTGTGATCATGTAAATGAGAAAAGCTGCAAAGCCTCCAAACCTAAGTCACACATGTATATTATGTACCATTGATCAAAGCAACTTCACAATTTCCATTAACCAATTTCAATTAGCATATTTCAAATTTGAAATTAAGTGTTGTGTTTGTGTTTGTGTTAACTCACCATTGCCATTTATAAGCAGTGAAAACGGTTATGCGTCCCGGACTTAAGGTAGTTGGTCTAAGCTTGGTTGTAAATGTTTCTATTAGAGCCACAACACAATATACAAGGGCTATTCTCTGCATACAAAATTTCATAAACTTGGTTATTGCGACTATTTTGCATTAGGCCCTGCATAATATTTATTTTCATTGATTTGATTCACACCTGGAGAATACCACACCATCGAATAAATTTCATGTTGACTCCATACGCGAGTTCATCGGGGGCGTGCGAGTATCCACCTGTCATATGTTCAAAATCAAGTTTACCAGTGCACAAAGATTTATTCATCTAATTATGCAACTTTGTGGATTCAAAATCTAATCCTTGGACGTTTAAAAATGAATATAGTGAGTGAGTTTGAAGACTTTTGTTTTGATTACCTTGCAAAATTATGCCCCAAAAGAGGAGCTTCAATGTCCTGAGTATTATCTTCTTCACAGCAAACTTTATCTTGGGAATTCTCTGCATTATCATAATCAAAGTTTATTCATATCAAACACGGACATAGACATGGACACCAGACACGACCCCCACATTGACATGTCGACACCGATGATAATTTAAAAAAATAAATAGACTAAACATAATCATAACTGTTGGTGTTGTGTCAGTGTCCAACACTGACATGGACACGTTTTAGAGGTGTCAGTGCTACAGAGGGGCAGAATACAGAAGGGTTGATAAGTTACCTTAAGTGCAAGAGCAATGGCAACACCAACAATGAAAAGAAAGAAAGGCATAACAAAATCTGCCAAAGTACATCCATTCCACGGAGAGTGATCAATGCGTGGATAAGCTTCACCAGCATCATCCACTAATATCATCAACTACACAAAGATGACAAAACAACATATTAGTATTTTAGACAATCACTTATAAATAATCCTTACTTCACAATAAATTGTCTTAACTTTCACTTCAACAAATTGATTAAATATAAGAACTTAAAATTTTACAGTAACTTATTACCACAATGGTGAGGCCTCTAAATGCATCAAGTGTTGCAACCCTTTTTGTCTTTTGCTTAACCAATGCAGGCTTAGCCACTGTCTCTGTGTCCTGCTGATCAATACTAGAATTTCCATTAATATTGGTTGTTTCTTGCTTCTTCAAGACATCATCTTTAGCTTCATCAATATCCAATGCTACATTGATGCCTTCTTCCATTCTCTTAGCACTTTCATCCATGGCTAAGTAGTGAATGATATTTAACAAATTGTTCAAACATATATATATATCCTTCTTTTAATTCTCCAAGTTGATATGTGTGTATTGAAGTGACAAATTAAGAGCTCCAAATGAAGGATAAGGCCGGCTTTGAAGTCAATAGGGGAAAGAATCAATATCTAATAATAGCAGCTAGATTACAAACATAAGAGACATATGCAGCATTTTCGAAAGATAGAGAAGAAAGAGGTCCATATTTGTATTTGTTACTTTATTTTAGTATTATTATTTACAGCCTTTGTTTCTTATTTTGTCATACTTTGACAAATTAAAGATTCCCCTTCTTATCTTATGCCTTGACCATATTTTCATAATGATTACTTGCCTTGAGATTCTACTATTTGGAATCTTGTCTTTAGGGTTGCTACGGAAGAATTTCTGCATAATATGACAGAATCTCTAGGAAGAGTTTTATTTTGGTATATGTAATTACGTTTAATTATTCATTTTTTTATTTTATTATTGAGCCAACTTGGGCTGGTATTGGAAAAAAACAAATAATCAATATGGATCCAACATAGATAAAGAATTCTAGAAAAATGAGAGACCATTTTAATGGACTCAGTACAACAAATGATCTATATATATTTTATTTGATTATGATGATCTTGCCTATATCAATGACTCAATGCCAATATCTTCACTCTCATATTCTCTTACAATTTCCAGTATATTTTTAACTTGTGCAACACGCCAGCAACAACTCCCCAGAAAGTAATTTCTGCAAAGATTACATATAAGAGAGTTCCCACTCTCTCTGACTTCCAAACACTCACAAACACATGTTTCTTGATCCAATGTACCTGATTTATATTTTCATTTTCAAAATGAAAACATATTAGAAAATCATACATTACAAAATTATGATAATTAAGACAGACTATATAAAATGGAAATAATTTTTTTTCTTCTTACTAGTGAGTTATTTGGATCTTCATAATACCATCCATTTACAAACCCTGCAAAAATGCCTTCAGCTGCCATCACAAACACTAACATAGAATTCATTCCTATCCATTCCAAGAACAAGAACGGAGTACGGAACCTCCAAACATCTATCTGTTTGATTATCAAAATTTATTAAACAATAACCAAAAGAAGCAATACTTGAATGATGCTATGAAGTTGAAAATTCCCTACCAATATGTATAGGGCAGAGAATACAATTCCAGCTATTCCAGCTGTGAAACAAACATAGCTAATGCTATAAAGTTGCTTGTTAATGGGGATAGCTGCATGATATTTCAGAATTTTTTTGTTAAGGTTTACCTTGAGCGATTGATTTCGATAAGTGATTGTTACACTATCTTACCATTTGTAAAGTGAAGGATAATAGCTATTGTGAGTAACACAAACCCCATAGAGACCCAATGTTTGAGCCTCTCTGAATGACCCTGTCATAATAAGATTTAATCCGTTTTAGACCTTTCACGTCTTCTTGAGTGTGTAATATAACTTAGGGTGAGATTTTGTAACCTTAAAATGAATCAAGACGTGCCCGTAATGGATTCCTATGGTGCCAGAGAGGATTGCTGATATCGAACTAGTTAAAGAAACACTTTCTTAAAATATATGTAATATATGAATAGATTATGAACTTTAAACATCTTGATACATACTTTAGTACCAGCAGGTAGAAGGAAAGAAAATACAAAGGCAAACCTCAACAAGCCCTCGGGTTCAAAGGGAGCACGGCACCAACTTGGAGCATCTTCGCGAAGTGGACCTTCACCTGGAGAACTGAATGTGCATTCCTTCAAAACAAAACGGAATATTATTAGAACTATCCTCATCTTTCTCCAAAGACCAAACTTTCTTCTTACAAGACTAGTATGTGTCTCCTCATAATCACCTTCAAGTGTCTCCAAACAGGATGTGAGTAAAAATGGTTAACCCCCCAAACTTGCCTATCCACATGTCCGACTGCGTTACATGCAGGGCCTATGTGTCCTCTCATCCCACATATGACCTAATAAAAGGCAGGAAGAAAAAATATATAAAAATGAAAGCTTTAAGTAACAATTTAGACATTAGAGATAGTGAACATACTGTGTATCGCTTTGGTTCGTCGCCGATAACATGATCTACGAAACTCCAATCTGGAACGTAGAGTGTGAAAGTTGTGATCATGTAAATGAGAAATGCTATAAAGCCTCCGAACCTAAGTCACACGTATATAAGCATATTTCAAGTTTGAAACTGAATGTATGTTGTTTCATCTCACTCAAATGGTTGTGTACAGAAGAAGTAATACTTACCATTGCCATTTATAAGCTTTGAAAATGGCTATGCGTCCATAAGAAGTCAAGGTGGTGGGTCTAAGCTTGGTGGTAAATGTCTCTATTAAAGCCACAACACAATACACAAGACCTATTCTCTGCATACACAGATTCAAAATTGTATTGAAATGTGATTATTTTGCATTAATCCCCGCATAATATTTAATTTAATTATTTATACCTGAAGAATGCCACACCATCTAATGAATTTCATGTTGACTCCATATGACAGGTCATCAGGAGCATGAGAATATCCACCTGGAGTCCAATAGCACCCAAATTTATTCATCTAATTATTTATCCAACTATGTTTTTCTCAACTAAAATTTGGTTTAAATGTATATAGTGAATTTGAGGAGTTTTGTTCACCTTGCAAAAGTATACCCCAAAACAGAAGCTTCAATGTCCTAACCATTATCTTCTTCACCGCATATTTTATCTTCTCTATTCTCTTTAGTGCAAGCGCTATGGCAACACCAACAATAAAAAGAAAGAAAGGCATAACAAAATCAGCCAAAGTACATCCGTTCCACGGTGCGTGATCAATGCTTGGATAAACTCCACCAGCTTTGTCGACCAGTATCATTATCTAAACACCATACACAAATTCACTTTTACACATTCATTCATTCAAAGAAACAAAGATTTCAGACAATGGTTACATTACACTAACTAACCACTATGGTGAGGCCCCTAAATGCATCAAGTGTTGCAATCCTTTTTGTCTTTTGCTTAACCATTGTGTCTGTCTCATGCTCATCAATATTGCTTGTTTCTTCCTTCTTCGAGACATTGTCATCTTTAGCATCAATATCCAATGCTAAGTCGAGTCCTTCTTCCATTCTCTTACCACCTTCATCCATGGCTAAAATAGTTAATGATCCTTCTCTTTTTTTTCTATTGGTTGGTTGGTATATGGGAGTGAGAAAGTTGTAAATGAATTAGAGAAATAGCCTAATGTGAAGTCAATATCTAGCATAGCATAGCAGCTACATTACAAACATAACAGACATATTAAGGACTTTGAGTGGTGATTAGTTCCGCCTAATTAGCTGTTTCTTGTTCCGCAATATTATTTATGCTCTAAACTATGATAGAATCAATATAACACTTAGTTAATACAGATGGTTTTTAAATATATTTTTTTATCATTTTTTTAATGATTAGGATCCACAACTATAACTGAACGGACTTAAAGAAACTTTATTTTTAATTCTTTTACTTGTTACCTTTTCAATTTAAAGTTATATTTGACCAATTGTATCATTACATGTCTTTAACTATCTTACACAGTATCTATAAAATAGTTATTATGGTTCTATGTATGTATTGTGCATGTAAATTTCTTTTAAAGGTGTTAACAGTGACAATTGAAGAAGCAAAAAATAAATCACCAGTATCATTAATTAAAAAGCAAGCACAAAAAAGTGTTCAAAGTTTCAATTAGAAAAATTAAACAAAGCAAAATCAAGCAATCAAAACAAACTATAGTTGTGAAATTTCACTTGATTCCACGATTAGTATTTAAACTTGTATTTTGATCGGTAGAATGTATTTTAAGTGATATTAAGTTTTGAAGAACTAAGGTGATGTACACACGTGACAAACTTATTTTAAACTCTTCATCCTTTTCTTAAAACTTCTTATAACTATTCCGCAAAGAAAAACTCATTGTCTAATCGCTTAAGGCGCGAGCAATGTCTCCTATTACAAATTAGAGTTTCTTTTTCTCGCTTAACCTAACCTATTAGTTTATTGATTTAATCGATTATGAAGCGACTAGACTTGTGGATTGTGTCATACCCTAAACTTGTCCTACTCTTTTGTAAATATTTTCGCATTTTATTGTTTCATGCCGTTTAGACACATGTCCTCCCGAAATTGGGCGTTTTCCAAACTTTATCTTCTTGACCAATTAAAGCGCGACACGTGGCCTAAAGGTTTTTGTGAATATTATTTTCATTTTAATTTCCCAACCTTTTTTTTTAAATATTAATGAATATTTTGTATATATATTTGTTTTGTTTGATAATAATATTAAATAGCAATTAGTATTGTTTTTTTTATATTATTAATTATTTTGTATTTTGTAGATATTATTAATATTTAATTGTTTTGTTAACATTTACTTCTTAATTAGTCATGTTAATTAATATTGCAACCATTAGATTACATTATTGTATTGGTTTATTATTGATTAATTGATTAATTGTTGAAAAAAAAAGTAGAAGAGTTGGATTTGAATTGGCCCACGTTTTGGCCCATGGAGATTGCAAGAAGAAATGTTAGGGTACTCAGATTTATAAAGAGGGGAGAGTAGAAACCCTAAGGGGAAGGGGGTACTGTTCATGACCCCAATTCAAACCCTAAACGGCGTCGCGACCCCTCTCAAACCCTAATGCCAATTTTGAATGCTCATCTCCCTTCTAGACTAAAATGGCCGCCGCCCACAAATCTCCCACCAAACCCTAGTCCGCCGCTCATCCCTCATCTTCATCCCCCACGAAATCCCTCTCTTCAGCTTCATTTTCTTCAACTCTCACCTCACCATTATCTTCCCCCTCACCATAATCCTCACCATTCATCGTCTATCTCAGAAAAACGGCGCCGCTAACCTCACGAAATCCCTCAACCTCCTCCTTCTATTTCAACGCACCCTCACCACGATCATCACCCTCAATCGAAACCTTCATTGACCAAACCCCATTCTTTCTCCTTTCTCCTTCGAAAACCCATCATCATCGTCCTCTCTCTATCCTCAACTTTCGTCGTTCTGCGCTACACGCCTCATCATCGACAGCTCTAGCTAGATAACAACTTGACACAACACGTAACAATGGCGCCACGAGTTCTCTCCAGCTTCATCTTCTGAGCACTCCAGCGGAAACCATACTTCAACTCAACAATAACGCCGTATAAGCTATTTCGAGTCTGACACCGTAAATTGACCAAGGACGTGGTGAATAATGACGTTGACGACCTTGCGACGACCCTCGTGTGAATGGCAACTCAGAAGTAGCTCTCAAACATCAGCTGTGTATTCGGCTCAAAGGATTCGACATTGTTATTTGCCATTTGTTCTGTGTTTTGTGTGTTTCAGGTCGGAGTTTTGTTTGGCTGGAGTCAGGCAACGACATCAAGAATAAACTCATGATGGCTCTCCGTAACTCAAAAATCATAACTAAAAAATGCAACAGAAAGTTAACAGAAAGTTCATAAGCAAGTAACTGCAGCAAGATGGTGATATCGTTCCGTGTTTTCGATTCAACTCTGTTTTTATCTGTTATTATTTCCCTAAGAGCTCGTGTATTTGTTTATGACTGGTTCAATTTGCAGGTTTGAGGTTGAATCTGAGGTTCAGACTCAAGTTTGGTGATTGTTGCAGTTTCGTATCGGAGAGGTTGCGATTTCAAATTTCGACAGCAGAAACATGGATTCAAAGTGTACAACAGCAGTTCATCAACAACAATATCGGCCATGTTCCTCTCATACTTACGATGACAATGGCATACCGCGAGTTCTCTGCAATGCAACAACGCGAAACGGGGAGGACTTGGCTCTGTCTCAATTCCTCGCTACAATTATGAGATTCAAGTTCAACTGCACCAACATCGTACACTCCCATATCTGCTCTCAGCTAGGATGTGACATCCTCAGCTCGCGCGGTTTCCGTTAGTGGAGTAACAACAACTTTCAGAAGTAGCAACAATAACACATCAGGACGCAATAAATAATATGTAAATTGATGCGTGACCGTATCTTGTTTTGGTTGGCTTATGCTTCCATTTGATCGTTAATTTGGTATTTGTTGTTAAATTAGAGTTAGAAACTAATAGTATTCAATACTGTTTGTGTAACATTGGAAGTTTGTTAAGTTAATTTTCTTTAAGAGTTGAGTTGAGCTATTATAACTTGTTTTGTGTTCCAGCTATTGCATTACCGTATTGCGGTTCTGTTTTGTGTTCTCTCTTGGTTTTGATGCAGGGTTTACCGCAGCAAAATTCCTCAATGTTGAATCACAACGACTCTCGACGGTTCAAGTAGAACGGGTTTTCTTTCTTTTCTATTTGGTTGGCTGTTGATATTGTGCAGGTTGCGGCCCGAATCATCGATTATGCAGAAGAACAACATCATAGCATCAAACAGATTCCAACGGCGATGTTTAATCTAGGATTCAAACTCAATATTGGCTTACGTCACGGCTTTTGCATATTGAAGAGGTGGCCACCGTTTCCCCACATCCGAGAAACGGCGTTCATGATGTCGAAAGCAAGCAAGTGGTAATGACATAACCTTGTCCCGACAATGAGTTCGACGTCGGTAACACTCTAAATTAATATGTTGTTATTGAGTTGTAGATAATTATGGAGAAATAATTGTATGCTTCTACAGGGTGAACATTATATCCATTGTATTCTATTTTAATAGTGTTTCAAATGCTTAGATTATAACTCTGGTTTTGTGTCATAATATTGTAAATGCGATTTAGTTCAGTTTCGATTGTTGGTTATTCATTTATGTTTAATTATAATCTTGTGAACCCATGAGGTTTGTCAAAGATTGGTATGTTGCCGATAGTTGTGCATCTACTTTGCTTTGCTAGTTGTTTTTGCCTTTTTCGCATTGATTTCGGCCGTCCAAATCGTAAGTTCTCGGATAGAGTACGTTCTATTTCACTTTGCACTTGGTGAAGTATTATTAACATGATATGCAAGGTTTAATTCGAATGTTTTTGCTTTCTTGTCTTAAATTCGGCTCGAATCTCTGTTTTTTTAGTATAGATTATGACTCTATCCTGTTGAGGAATCTCTTTGAGGTGCTGCGGTTTAGGTGCCGTAGTCGTGGCTTTACGAATGGCTGTTAGCTTTACAGACTGTGTTTTAATGTTACTATGCAGGTTGCTTAGATGGGCGGACAACAGGTTATGCATATGCTTGAGACATAGCATTTTTTTTGTTTAATTTGTTTAGATTTATATTTGGTTTTTTTGTCTTTAGGGCTTAAGACAACATTGGTGATATTATCTCAAATATTTTCAATAAATCATTTTTTTCAAGTTAAAACCTTTTTATATATTAAACGTTTTAATATAAAAACAATTCAAAATATTTTCTAAATAAATTCTTATACTATTTTAAATTGTATTTTCAATATGATTAAGTTTTCTACTCACAAATCAATTTATTTTTAACATAAACAATTTTAAAAAAAAATCACTTTCAAAATATGATTTTGTTTTCTTAATCCTATTTCAACTTATTTTTCATTACCAAATTATCTTCTAATCAAACCACGAAAGGTTAAATCTTTAAATTCTAGCACTTCTCGGGTTTTTGGACGATTGTTATTGAGGCATACGCCTTAAGTAATATATTGTTCGATATTTCATCTCTTAGTGCGCTATTTTGGACAAAGAAATATCATAGGAATCTAGCATTCTGTGTGATATTTCCTTTGTTCATTCAAACATTTTATGAATGAAAAAGGTGTTGTCGAGATCTAGCATCTCGATAATACCCCGATTCATTAGTTGTGAGGCCGACGTCTCATTTACTAAATAATTGTCATTTCTCCTATACTTTTCAAATTCAATCTCGTATTCTCACCTCTTGTACCGCAAACTCTTTCCATACCATCAATTCAATTCAATTCTTCAAAAATATCTTTCTCGATTAAAACCCCGAAAGAAGGAGATTCTTGGAATCTAGCATTCCTTGAATTTTCGAGTGAATAGTTCTCGAGGCACGCTCTTGAGTTGTTATTCGCTCAACCTTTCGACTTTTTCAAACTCAAACATTTTCCAACGTTCTCCTAAGTCGAATGCTCGTACGCATTCGCAACCCACATTTCGTGTACGCATTCA